TAGGATCCAATTTTAAACAAAGACAACTGATACCGCCTACGGCTGCTCCCTTAAAGGGTCAAATCCTCAGGGGCCCATGAGCTGAAGACTTCCCGAGCAGACGTAGGTCGGGCCTCAATATGGCCACGTGGAATCTCTCTAATTACACTAAATATACGGGGGAGCGTTCTATACTTCGGCCAGTCAACCGGCAGAGGAATTAGGCGAAGCTTACTTACCTATATCCAAGGCGACTGGTCCCTCCGGAGTCGGTCAGGTCACATGTGGTTGTGTAGTGAAAGGGAAAGAAGGTGATGTGATGTGTATCTGGGTGTGACTGCGGGTGATTGAACCTAGACCTTGGCCGTCGGCAGCAGCCCGAGCGTCGACACCGCTCCAACTTGAGGGGGCCTTCCGAGGCGTTGTCCAAATACTGCACCGCTTCAGACTGCTTCGGCGCCGGACCACAGTCACTTTCCTCGTTCGTCACGATGACAGTCAATTAACTCTATCGTACGATTTACTAACTTACAGAAGCCACTAACTATCGCTGGTTATAAGGTTAAAGCACAAAACGCACACGGAGTTTTTGGATCAAAGGTCACTACCGTTTCGCGTTGAAACAGTTAGTTCTAGAATATCAGAGGCCGCACTAACTAATATTGTCGAATGCACTTATACAGATTCTGAGTCGGACCCAATAAGTCCCGGGAAAGGCTATCCAAACAGGGAATGCGCGTTATAAATCCTAGACGGGATATTTACTAGACGCCCTAACTATTCCGCGGTTCCCGCACAAAAATGACAGCGTGCTGTTCCAAGCACACCTGGCAGACGACTGACTGCCCTTGGGCGTTTTACGCACGACCGAATGTCAAACCGGTATGACACTGAGCCGCGCGCCCTCTCGCGTTCGTTCTTGAAATTAGCGTTTAGCGCGAACAACAACAGATCGGAGTAACCTCCGCGGACATCTTTTCTCTAACTATACGTAGTAGAACCATGCTGCAGCTATATCGGTAGTATAGTTGTAGCACGAATGGGTCGGCTTGACCGAAGAAGGACCACACTCTCACAGAATACCAGCGTAAAATAGCAGCTTAACACTGCTGTGTATCGTATGGTGAGTGTAGAGAACCGGAGACCCTTTTTACTGGAAAAGAGGCATTCCATCTTAGTCCTCACGGGTGACAACGCATCTGCATTTTGATCCGCAAACGAGGATAAATGTAGATGTCTATTGGTCACAGCAACCACTTACCATCAGGTGGACTATGTGCTCGTTTGTCACCCTATCCTATAAAAAAAAATATCGCTAGTATAGTTGTAGCACGAATGGGTCCGCTCGACCGGAGAAGGACCACACTCCCACAGAATACCAGCGTAAAATAGCAGCTTAACACTGCTGTGTTTCGTATGGTGAGTGTAGAGAACCGGATACCTTATTTTACTGGAGAAGAGGCATTCCATCCTCACGGGTGACAACGCATCTGCATTTTGTTTCTTTATTGAGGATAGATGTAGATGTCTATGGGCCACAGAAACCACTTACCATCAGGTGGACTGTGTGCTCGTTTGTCACCCTATCCTATAAAAAAAGTAATCTATCTAGGAGTCCGTCTGGATAGATATCACCATCTTATCTATCTCTGCCGCCAAGCAGCAATGCGTACACTGCTGTGTTACGTTAAATAAATAAATAAAAATAAAAATTACATCTCAGTCCGCAAAAGTACCTTAATATGCAGACCCCATTGTTAAAGATTGATTGCAGGTACAGTAAGTATGTGCGTCACATCAATTTTGTGGAAAAACTGTCGTAATCTTGAACAGATTTTTTCCCAATTTTGCATTATGCTATAAAATGACATCACGACGTCGAAATTCGATGATCGTAATTCACGTAGTAGAAAGAAAATGCGGCGGTAAATTTATCTTTAGGATTTATTACCTAAACTCTAACGTATACACATGAATACGGTTATATTTATTAGCCATGTAAATCCCCATTAGGCAACAATTAGATAAGACGATAAATTATTTGCTCGTGTTTGCGTCGCGCTTAAAAGCTTTAACTTAGTGTTATTTTAATTTTTTCATATTATTTTACTAGGTTGGTCTGTCTAGATAGGTATTATGCTCTTACCCATTCTCACGACTAAGCTGTAATGCGTGCACAGTTCCGATCTGAATGGTATACGAAGCAAATAAATACAGGCTATAAGCAATTTCATTTTAGTACTGAAGAGTGATAACGTATCTGTAAGCTTCTTTGTTTTAAGTTGGTTGCAGGTGGCCAAGTGCTGCAGTTGTCACTTATCACCAGGGTTCGTTTGTCAATTTTATATTTAAAAGAAATCCTGTTGCTGACATTGAATCCGAGTGATTTCTTAAATTTACGCGAACACTACACATTGAATAAATCTATTTTTACGGATTTTATCGCGTTTAATTTACTATTTTAATTCCCGACGTTTCGGGTTCTTTACAGCAACCCATGGTTACGGGGAGGACTGAGATGCTTGACGTCCCGATGTCACAGTTAGCCCGGCTACCTTCAGTTTTTTAATATTAATTTTTGGTTCGATTTACGCAAAAACTAACTAAATATAAGACAAAAATAAAAGACAATGTTCAACGTTTTACCAATATATCAGTAGCCAAGCGACTTGCAAGGATTATTTCGATAAATCTTTGTTTCTCAATATATTGACCTATTTTATAGTAAGTATTTTTGGACATACTATTCTTTAACAAGTTTATTTTTTAATTTCAAAATATTATTGCACTATATTTCCCATTTTATGCATTTGTCTTAATAGCTCCGTTCGTAATTGGCGCAGTACCAGCCGTCTTTGACGCCACTTCCCGTTGTCATACTGGGTATTTTACGTCTGACGTAAATACCATCAGGCGATTATATCGCTATTTATCGAGAGTCATGAGATATTTTTGTCATTTACTATAGCCATATTTTTTATTATATCCCATATTCGTCATGGGTTGACTGGTAGAGAATGTCTCAAGGCATTAAGTCCGCCCTTTATATTCTTTTGTTTTAAGGAATGCAATAAAGAACAAATAAATAAATAAAAAAAAAAATAGTCGCCCCGTACAACATCTATGGGATTGAAATAGGGCGTTTGCCTTCCGCCGCCACCACACGACTCAATTTCATTGGCACCAATGAAATTGTAAATATCAATGTCAAGTACTAGTAGGTGAATAAAATTTTTGATTTGCAATTTTTTTTGATGGATGTTTGTCCTTGTGAAATCTATGTATGTAAACTGCCTCCACGAAACAGGAGAAAGTTCTAGTGTAGAGGAAAGGGTTTATTTTTTAAGAAGAATAATGATATATTTTAGTAAGTAAGTACTAGTTGTAGAACTACTTTTCTGCCTGGAAGTCCATCTGGATAGGCACCAACTTCTTACTTATTTCTACCACCATGCAGCAGTACTTGCACTGCAGTATTTGCGACGGGTGACAATGAATCTGTAGCGTTCTTTGTTTGTCATGTGTTCTGGTGCACCTTACTTCAGAAGGAGATGGGGGAAGAGTTGTCCTCGCCGGGGCAACGGCTGCCATGAAGCAGCCAGAGCAAATGAGGCCACGGATGTGTGCAAAAGCTTTCCCGTGGCCCTGCCAATATGCGGCAAAAGTGGAACAGCAAGGTGTTTTAGTGGGTGCAGGTCCGAAATAACACGTTCTTGCCCCCGCGAGGCGGGTATGCATAGGTATAGGTTTGAGTTTCAACCGTAGTCAACATACAATAGACAAAATGCAAATTCATATCTTTTGGTTATATAACCCATAAGGTCTTTACAAAAATGAGTTTTTGTTAAAGATAATTATGTGTTTGCTCTACAATCATCATACTTTATCGATAGTAGTCTTAAACCGCGTATCAATTATGCGCTCCAAGAGGTCGAACATTGACACGCGTTCCAGCCGCGTGAAGTGGATACCGCCTTGAAACCGCACCAAATTGTTCGTTGGAATGCTCAAGCGTGGAGCAGGCCATTCCATCTAGTGTCATTTTTTTATCGCGTATCAAATTAGTTAAGTTTTGGCGCACGCGTCAGTAAGGACGGTTGTTTTCATCATCGTGTGTTCGTTGCGTTTCGAGCTATGGATAACCTTAGTTGCCGCAAATTGATAAAATGATATGATTCAAAAGAACTGCTGTGGAATAGCAATAGACGTTTTTATCATAATAAAGCACTCAGAGAAGATGCATGGAACTATGAAAGTGACAGCTGCTCGTACACGACCGACATCCAAGTCGAACGGTCAAACACGGAAGCGGCTCTCGCGGGCACCAGGAGGAGCGCTTAGTTGATACACTTCGAACATTTGGAGCGCATTTCGCGGAACGCACTGGTCCGAGTGGTCATTCATGGCGCGCGCGCCAGGAGTGCGTAATCGATACGCGGCTTTACGGATACATATTGTATATTACATATACGCGGCTTTACGTATACATATAGAATATTACATATACGCGGCAACTGTTCCAGTGTTTGAACCAGTTTGACCGTTCAACATGGATGTCGGTCATGTACGAGCAGCTTCTGCTTTCATGATTCCATGCATCTTCTCTGAGCACATTATGATAATAATTACTTTTGCTATTCCACAACAGTTATTTTGAACCATATAATTTTATCAATTTACGACAGCTACGGTTATCCATAACTCGGAACGCAACGAAGACACAAATGATGAAAACAACAGTCCCAACTGGCGCGCGCGCCAAGACTTAAACTAATTTGATGCGAGGTAAAAAACCGACACCAGATGGAGCGGCCCGATCCACGTTCGAGCGCTCCAATAGCCGGATCCACACCGGATGATCCAAAATGGATCGGCATTCCCGCGATCCGCGATCCAAGATCGTGATGCGTGGAGCGTGGATCGTTCTAGGTCGATCCAACAGCAATTTTTTGCGAATCCTGACTGGCTGCTCCAACGCGCTCCTGCCGATCCATACTGAATTAGTTGAATTTTGTCTGGCTATGGAGTCACACGTGCAACGACGGCGACGAATAGCCGTAGCAGCAGCAAGCTACATTTTACTCGTATATTTACGGCAAAAATTACGAAAACGAAAAAGACAGTATTGGGTTAAAACTATTTTTAAAAACCGGTTGGAATATGGGACTCGACTTTACAAAGAGTTAATTTATGAAGGAGCTGAAGCTAATTTTGCACGAACAACTGCAAATCAATTTGACTTATTGTGTTCACTATTGGAGAACAAAATAAGAAAGAATGATACAAACTATCGTGATGACATAACTGTTAAGGAAAGACTACTACTAACATTGAGATTTTTAGCAAGTGGAGATTCCTACGTCAGTCTACAGTATCTTTTCAGAGTGTCTAAACAGTCAATATCAGAAATTGTTCCTGAGGTTTGTGAAGCAATCATCGACGTTTTGAAGGATTATGTAAAAGTAAGTGAAATTATATATTTAAAAGATTAAACTCTTTATTTCAAACTTAGCTTATACTTAAGAATATATAAAAGTTAATTATGTTGATTAAATTGGTAGTAATTTTGGGGACGGAGAAGGCTGCCAAGTTGTCGAAGTAGTAGAAGATGTTGATGGAAGTGGAGTCATTGTTGATTCTGAAAGTCGTTCTGTATGCAATAAAGTTGATGGAAGCTGAGTTGTTGTTGATTCTGAAGGTCGTTCTGTATGCAATGAAGTTGATGGAAGCTGATTTGTTGTTGATTCTGAAGATCGTTCTGTATATGATGAAGTTGGAGATTAATATCCATAATTTTCAGGTCTGTATCTACCTGTGTCAGCTTCAAAAATAATTTGAGATATGGCATGTTTTACATAAGTTAACGTTATATGATCATATTTTCGTAGTTCGGTAGCTATGTACTGTCCAAAAGCGGTGTATGAATCTGTCTCTGGTTGTTGTGGTTGAGCACATTGATGAAGTAGTTGAAATGCTTCCGAAATGGATTCATCTGTTATCATAATATCTTCGGAGCCATGTGAAGATGTTTTCTTTTCTTCTTTTATTTTGATTCCTTTTTTGGGTTTGAACATTGTGTTGGGTGTTTTGAATATTAGATTGGGCAGCAGGTTGTTCAGATGGCACAGAAGGTTCAGTTGGTATACTCTGATCATTCATATCTTGCATTTGATTATTAACATTCTCAGTTGTGTGATTGTCTACGTTTTCTAGAGCATTTTCATTGATAGCATGTTCTCCGATACCAGTGGTGCTATTACTTTCTTCCTGTAACAACAACAATAACATAACATATTAATCATAGTTACACTTTTTTCAGATGCCATCAAATGAAGAAGAGTGGCTCGCAGTGTCTCAGGAATTCGACGAAAAATGGAATTTTCCACATGTATTAGGAGCAATGGATGGTAAACATGTCGTTTTGCAAGCGCCTTTTAATAGTGGCAACGACTATGATAACTACAAATTGTTTCCAAGTATAGTTCTTTTTGCATTAGTAGATGCAAATTATAGGTTCCTTTATGTGCATGTTGGGAGTTAGGACAGAATATCAGATTAAAGGCACAAAGCTATATGAGAAACTTGTAAAAAGGAGCTAAACATCCCATCGGCAAAAATTTTGCATATTCCTTATAAAATTGAGGTGCCCTATTTTATACTGGGTGATAAAGCTTTCCAATTAAATGATTATACATTGAAACCGTATGAAGGTGATCTAGAAAGGGGTTCGAGTGAACGAATATTCAATTACAGATTATCAAGAGCACGTAGATTTGTAGAAAACGCGTTTGGAGTACTAAGCTCAAGTTACAGAGTTTTGCGTAAACCAATGCTGTTGGAGCCAGAAAAAGCAACTAAAGTCGTGCTAGCGACAGTTTACCTATATAACTATTTACGAAGTAATTCTAATTTAAGAGTACCGGTATCTTTTGATACAATACAGGGGAATGGAGAAATAGTTCCTGGAAACTGGCGAACGGAACAGGCACCAACATCACTACTACCGATAGATGCCATACCACGAAGAGCATCACAAAATGCCAAAGATATTCGGTCCCACTTAGCAAGCAGCAAGACACTTTATAACAAACGGGGCCATTGTTTGGCAAAATGAGTACCAATAAACTTATATAAATTGTACTGTGTTTATATGTTTTATAAGTTAGCTGCATTAAGAGGAATTTAATGTAGTTCAGTTCATTATACTTTAACCAATCAACTATGTATTTTATTTAAAACTATCCTGTCCCTAAGTTCTAGATTATAATAAGAAATAAATTTTATTACATAAATACAAATATACTTTATTGACACCAAAAGAAAACATTACCTACACAGATAACACAAAATAATACAAACAAATTTAAGCCACCTGTCATCTGTCAAGTAAATTTTCAATACACTATGAAATTTGATTATTGAATCAAAAATATACCTTTAGATAATTATTAGTAAATACTATCACCGTCGTATATGAAATTGATTTAATAAAAACACCAAAATAATATTTATTTATTCACACTGTTTAATTGAACTGTAACGAAACACGTGTTCTTGTAACATAGTTATCGATTTTCATGCCACCTGTAACTAAATGTACATGCAGTAAGACTCTGGAATTCACTTCCTCCTACGATTCGAGAAATCAAAACAGTGACATTATTCAAAAAACGTGTAAAAGAACATTATTTATCTCTGTCTTCTGTGTAAGTTTCCATATTTTTGATATTTACTATACTTTTATTATTTATATATATTTAATTATGACTATACATTTTATCTTGTATGTATATATGTATGTATGTGTATATAATAACAAAGTGCACACCTTACTATCTTTTATTTATCACATATCTTTTTAACTAGCCAACTGGAAGAAATTTCATAATGAGATAAGTAGCGCCCTTGTACAAACTGTTCATCATGTTGTGTTCTTTCCTTTGTTTGTGTGTACATAAATTGTTAAATAAATAAATAAATAAATAAATTTATGATGTAGAATTGAGGTGTCGGTGTGCGCGCTCATCGTAAAAATTCACTCTCATCATTTTTCTCCATCGCGCCAAAAGAAGTATAACTTCAAAAATAACTCACCTGTTGGAGTGTATCCCTTGTTGTCCCGTGGTCATTCTTATCCGCCATGAAAGCAAACTCTTCGTAAGCAAACCATTTTGATTTATAAGTATCTTCAGCACCTGAAATAAACAATAAATTAATATAAATAAATATCAATGTCCGTGAAGTCACTCCCCTACACAAAACCTTTAAACATTTGAGTATACCTTTTTATCACAAACTAAGTAACGTTACTACGTTGTGGAGTTTTAAACAATACATTTTATTATTATTACTAATAAATTAAAATTAAAGTTTCACTAAGAGTGGCAGGTTATGTACTGAACTATAATTATAAAACAAAAGAACTATAATTTCTTACCTGATCCGGTAATACGACTCAGGTTTTCTCTGAATCGTTCTCTTCTGTAGCCACCCGACAAAGACTTAATTTTTTTCTTTAGTTCTGTTGTTGGAATATTATTCATTTGCCGACTAATTTTCCGCCAGGCATCGTCTCTTACACCTTTATTTGTGTAATTGGTATCATTAGGATCCCATAAACATTTAATTTCCCGGAAATTAAACGGATACATTGCGAATTATCCATAACGGCGGATCACGCGATTCTCACAACCGTCCAGACCGCGCGCGCCAAGCGACTGAGGCCCCTTTCACCTTTGTGCGTAACCAAAAAACCGACAACAAATGGATCGCACGCGGCGAAGAGCGCGCGCTCTCCGCCGCGTACATGGAACGCGCGCGACACGTCTACATTTCACGCTCCGTGGAGCGCCCTCCATGCCACGCGCGATCGGAGCGCTTTGGATCGTCCGGTGTGGATCCGGTTAATGAACAATTTGGCGCGCGATCCAATGAACAATTTAGCGCGCGCTCCAAGGCGGTAATCATTTCGCGCGGCTGGAGCGCGCGCCAATGTTCGACCTCTTGGAGCGCATAATCGATACGCGGCTTAAGACCTATGTTTTTCATAGCATAATGCAACATCAGCGTGTAACTGTGCCAATCATTCTTACGACAGAAACGAGAGTTTTTTTTATAGGATAAGGGTGACAAACGAGCACACAGTCCACCTGATGGTAAGTGGTTGCTGCGACCCATAGACATCTACATCTATCCTCTGTTACAAATCAAAATGTAGATGCGTTGTCACCCGTGAGGACTAAGATGGAATGCCTCATTTCCAGCAAAAAGGGCCTCCGGCCACCTGCACTCACCAAGCGAAACGCAGAGGTAAACCTCTACTTCACGCTGGTTTTCTGTGAGGTCGTGGTACTACCCCGGTTCGAGCCGGCCCATCCGTGCGACAGCAAAAGCTGCCGCGTGGCTCTACCACTGTTAAAATTGATTAGTTTTCTAGCATTGAACGTTACTGTTCTACCGTTAATCCGAAAATTTTATGATTTTCATTTAACTTACTTTTATCATAGCTGAATAAACACGAATATAACAGCCGCGAAAATTTATTAAAATGTCAAGAATTGATTTAACATGTATATTTCTTACAACACTTTCACGCACTCACTTAAATACCTCAAATAATATGACAAAACACATACATACACCTACATATTTCTGTCACATTACTTAGTCATTATTACATATTATTATAACACTTTTTTAATTTTATTATTTATTTCAACTATTTAATGTAAACTATTGGAAATGAAATGAATAAATCAAAATATGTAATTAAATTAAATTGAATAATAGATAATGCTTGTGACATATATAATGGAAAGGAATACAATATTAATATGTCATATTAAATAGATCCTGATATACGCGATTTCTACTCAGGCGCTAGGGCGCAGTTGAAACGCAAGTGTATTATTTTTATTACGCTATAACATCAAGGGTGGTTTCACGTGAATTTGAAGATAAAATTGCCACAACTAAGCTTGGAATAATAGAGGATAAAATTTTTATGTAACATTCAAACGACATTCCTAGCTTGAGGTTATGATATTGCTTAATCCACTCAAAAGAGCCAAATAAATAAATTTTAAGAAGTAAAAACAGACTGCGAAATTTTTTTATAAGTCTATCCTAGTTCTCCAGGCTATTAAATAATGTGGCAATTATTTAATTATTTAAAGTTTTTGAAATCGACCTTTACATTTTTTAAAGTTTAATTATGTCTTGTGAATCCATACTTCTAATCTTATCACTAGCAAAGAATACTAACTATAACTAACGTAGCAATCTTAATAGCACGGGAGAGCACGTCTGAGTTAGCTCAAGGGAGCCCTTTTGAATTAAGAGAGATTCTAACAATGGGAAAGAACTGATTAGAAATGAAGAAGATTAAAACTATTATGCTATAATGAGTGTGTCTGTTTGTATTAAATGTAATTTTTCAAACGATTGAAAATATTTTCACTATAACAATGTGAAGAGCAGGGAATATTATAACTTCATCGTGTTTTCATCTTTCTGCTGTTCATTCTGTTAAGATTTTAAAAATAATGCGTGAATTTTTGTAAGTGGACCAACATTACGAAAACTATCCCTGTTTATTTATTCGTTACAAAAGATTCGTGAAGTTAAAACAAAATTATATTAAAAACGAAAATATAAAATTTTTGTTAGTTCTGAGCTATGTTTGAAGTTTTAAGGCTTTAAATTATCGTATAATTATATCATATATCATAATTATTAATTATTAATATAAGGTAATTCGTTTATTATTGATTGGAAAATTTGTATCGAACAGCTAAACATGGAAAAAAGCAAGCAACTGATATAGATACAGCCTGGTTGGTTTATTTAAGCTATTTTCAAAGTCTGATATCTTAAGGATTATTCTTGTGCGGATCGGAAGCTAATGTTAAAAATTTCTTTATACTATAGAAAAGAGCCAATCGTGCTTTATTTCAATTTATTTATCAACAACAAAAACACCTTATAAAAAAAGCAAAAACATTGACCTTACCACCTTACTATAACGTTACATAATAGATCGGGGAAAAAGTTTCTTCGTATTTTGTTTTATAACATTGAAGAAAAATCTCTTTAGTTGTACTGTTTGTATCTGGCTGCTTTTAATATCAATACACATAGGACATTAAGAAAAAGAAAAATAAAAAGTAAAACACACTTTCCCGCTATTTTTAAACTATTTTTCTGTCCGTCAAAATGAGTGAACCTAACGAAGAAATTCGATGCATTCTGAAGTTTCATTACAAAAAAAAAGGATAAACGCGACTCAAGCTACGAAAAAACTCGTATCAGTAAGAGTAGCATAAATTTGGTTCAAGCTCAGTTCGGGAATTTTGATGTCAAAGATGCAACTCGCTCTGGCCACCCTCATACGGATAAATTCGATACCATTTTTGAAAAACTGGAGCAAGATCAGCATATTAGTAGTTACGACATAACCGAGGAATTGAGGATTGACCAAAAAATAGTTTTGATCCATTCGAAAATAGCTGGCTATACAAAAAATTTTGATTTTTTTGTACCTACCACATGAACTCACTGACAGAAATTTAATGAATCGTGTACTCATTTTCGATTCTCTATTGAAACGTAATGAAACCGAACCGTTTTTGAAAAGATTGATCACTGGTGATGAAAAGTGGATCACCTACAATAAGAACGTGCAAAAACGATCATGGTCTAAGGGTAGTCAAGTTCCACAGACTGTAGCGAAAATCGGATTAACACGCAATAAGATAATGCTGTATGTATGGTGGGATTGGAAGGGCATCGTTTATCATTAGGGCTGCAGGTTCAAATCCAGCACGTTACAAGTATCTGTACGGCCTACAAATAATTGGTATGGGTCTGGATGTTCGTCCTTGTGAAATATATGTATAAATTGCCCCCGCGATACAGGAGAAAATCCTAGTGTGGAGGTAACATTTTGTTAAGAAAAAAAATGAGGCTCAAGCAACAAACTGAGAAAAAACGGCCGGAATCGATCAACAAAAAAGGAGTGGTCTTTCATCATGATAATATCAGACTACATACAGTTTTGCCCACTCTGCAAAAATTTAAAGAGCTTGGTTGGGAAGTGTTAATGAATCCACCATTTAGTCCTGAC